CCTTTAGATATGAAGAAGAAATTAAGACCTTTCCAGACATACAAAAATAGAGGGATTTCTCCACTACCGCTACAAGGCCTACACTACAGAAAATATTGAAAAGTGCCAGCTCATCTAAAACAAAATAACAAAACAAAAAAATATACATAAATAGGAGTAAAGTAACTATCAGGCAAATAGAAGCAGAGGAGTGCAAACCTTCATAAGAATACGGCATTATAAGTTTAAATAATAAAAGAATTGCTATAGCAAGATAGTAATGAACATTCAGCATACATAGGGACAAACTGAGGTAACAATGATTGAAAAGGAGAGAATTCAACGATCCAAATTTGCAAAGGAGAAAGGACATAAGGCACGCACAGAAGAAAATGGACAACTGTGTATATATAACTATCCTTTACATATTCATAATGGTAACCACACGCCAAAGATTCAGAACTGAAGTATATAACATAAAACAAGAAGGACCAAAGGCAAAACCCACAAAAGCCAACCAAAATAAAGAAAACAGAAACACAAGGACAAGGAAGCAATGGAAACACTGAGTTACCAGAAAGCAAAAGATAAAATGGCTATAAGAAGACCTCATATTTTCATAATGACTCTAAATGTAAATGCATTGAACTAACTCACCAATAAAAAGGCATAGAGTTGCAGAATGGATCAAAAGACAAAACCCAACCATATGCTACCTCCAGGAGACACATGTCAGCTCCAAAGACAAATATAAATTCAAAGTGAAAGAGTGGAAAATGATATTTCAAGCAAATGGCATTTAGAGAAAGACAGGAGTAGTGGTACTAATATCGGATGAAATAGACTTCGAAATAAAAATTAGAAAGAAAGATACTGTGGGACACTTCATAATGATAAAAAGAATCATGTAACAAGAAGACGTAAGACATTGATATTTATTCTCCTAATCAGGGAGCCCTGAATTATGTAAAGAAATTACTAACAGAACTAAAGGGAGAAACAGACCAAAACACTATAGTAGTAGAAGACCTAAATATCCCACTGTTGGATATGGAGAGATCATCCAAACAGAAAATCAATAAGGAAATAACATCCTTAAATGACAAATTAGACCAACTGGACATAATTGACATTTATAGAGCCTTCCAT